TAATCTATAATATAAATACGAACAAAACAAAAATAAAAATTAAAAACAAAGTACTGAATTCAAGAAATTTCAAACAAGTCAAGGACTGTTGAAAAACATGGATTTTGAAAAAAAAAAAGATTTCTGATTAATTATGAGGATACATATTTACTCATGCTTTTTTTTTTTTTAAATGAACAGTTTTGACATTCATTTCACTATGAGAGTTTCTTGTTTTCTTATTAAGGGTCCCAGTTTAACAAAGCAATTAGTTCCTTGACTTTAAAACTAAAAACAGCACAAACCAATATCTAACGAAACAATTTTTTATAAGACTCAGTAGCCAATGAAGACGTGCAAATAGCCTGCAGCGAAATATTATTTAGACATATATACAATTATTATGTTCCTTCTGTGTTTTGTTCATGTTGTAAACCACACCAAAACATAATGCAAAGCTCATTCCAGTTGAAGCTAGTGCTGCCATAAACGTGTCTCTTGTTGAAAGAATGATGAGAAGAGACCACTTATACTGCTCACACAAATACCGAGCCGATTTTCCTGTAAAAGATAACATAAGCTATTTATCTCATATCATCATCATCAGCATCAACATAATCATCTCGTCACGATATACAAGGTCTGACAATTAGGTAATGAGACTAATTCCATAAAAATTAAAATAATCAACAGTTGAAGATATAACCTGTATATTATTCAAAGTAAGCCCCTTGTGCATTGATACAGTGGCAGGATCTTACAAACACTGGAACGAGATCTGTAATTCTTCTGTTGTTATGGCCCTTAAAGTTAATGTTACGGCCCTTTGTATGTCATTATTATCGTCAAAGAAGCGTCCTTTCAATGCCAACTTTGATTTCGGGAATGAAAATTGTCAAAGGGAGACAAATCCGAGGGAAGAGAGTGGATAGTTGACAACCCGCACTTGTTTGGAGGCCAACAATTCCTGTACAGCTGCCGCCCTTCGAGCCGGTGCATTGTCATGAAGAAGACAAAACTGCCAGGTGTTGAATACAAACCGGCACACAAGTTTTTTTCTTGCCAAGATCTTCCACTAAAATTATACGAATAGTCTCTGTATTAAACCAAATTTATCTACCAATATCCTCACAGTCGAACAACGATTTTCTTGTATCCGTTCTGTGAATTTTGCGAGTTCCTCATTACGAACAGAAACTCGGTGTCCAGGTCTAGTTGCATTAGCAATCATTTCCACACCACATTTGAAGCATGAATACCAGCTGAAAATCTGTGCACGAGATAAACAACTATCCTTATGAACTTGTCGCATCAATGTAGCTGTTGCAATGGCGCCTTTTCTGAGTTTTAAACAGAATTTAATGTCAGCTTTTTTTGTTGTTGCTCCATGCTGATTACGTAACAATGCACCTCTGACTAGATTAATAAAATGGTGGCTTGTTTGTTTATCGGGCGGCGATGAAAAGTTGCCAGATCACAGGTTGCCTTTTTTAATTCCATGCTGTGAATCATAGATAGCATTTTTGTTTTAACCATAATAAAATTAGATATACTACCTAATTGTCGGACCTTGTACAAACTAGAAGTGCTGTCATTTGAAGTTTACGTCCGTTTTTAGAATTGATAGTAACAACTGATACTGTCAAAGAGTGTATAAAAATAAACACTTTGGAGAAGATAACAGTACTGCAGTATAAGCAGATAAATGAACGCACATCACTGTACTCATGGCATGGCATTCCTATATGTGCGCTATCTCCTTCTTCAGTTGCAAATGAAGATGGTGCGAGTGGCAACCTGATGAAATCCTCGTCACCATCCTCATCATCATCCCGGAACACTGTGCGTCGTTGGGTCATCATTTTTGTTGACTGATTAGCTCTTTCCACCTTTGGCGATCAGTTGCGATGGACTTCAAGGTTGCATGCTCAAGGCCTATCCAGTCAGTTATGCTTTGTAACCAGGTCTTCCTTGGTCTGCCTCTTCTCCTCTTTCCCTCAGTATTGTTTTTGAGAGGGGTTTAGATCTTATAACATGTCCATACCATTACATTTATCAAATTTTCACTGAGGTTAAAAGGTTCATAGTTGCCGATGTTTGTAATGTGGCCTCTGATTGATATGCGAAGAATTTTTTGGAAACATCGCATTTCCAAGAAGGAGGAGAAGAAGATGGAGGAGGAGGAGAAGGAAGAGGAGGAAGAGGAAGAGGAGGAGGAGAAGAAGAAGAAGAAGAAGAAGAAGAAGAAGAAGAAGAAGAAGAAGAAGAAGAAGAAGAAGAAGAAGAAGAAGAAGAAGAAGAAGAAGAAGAAGAAGAAGAAGAAAGAAGAAGAAGAAGAAGAAGAAGAAGAAGAAGAAGAAGAAGAAAGAAGAAGAAGAAGAAGAAGAAGAAGAAGAAGAAGAAGAAGAAGAAGTAGAAAGAAGAAGAAGAGAAGAAGAAGAAGAAGAAGAAGAAGAAGAAGAAGAAGAAGAAGAAGAAGAAAAAGAAGAAGAAGAAGAAGAAGAAGAAGAAGAAGAAGAAGAAGAAGAAGAAGAAGAAGAAGAAGAAGAAGAAGAAGAAGAAGAAGAAGCACAAATAGCATAACTAATCTTCCCAATCTACTAATATAAGCAAACTGTAAACTTCACAAGCTTCTACCTACGCTGCGCCGTGTGTGTTATTCTTAGTTTCCTTAGGTTGGTTGGCGTACATAGTGGCAATATCCTGGGCAAAATATTTCACCAGTTCATGTCTTTTCAATTTGAAAGTTGGTGTCAGTAGACCATTCTCCACCGAGAACAATTCTGGGTGCAGTTTGATATCTTTTACCTGTAAACACATATCAACAATTTTAATAATAAAAATAATCTAAGGACTGGACGCAACAGACTTCGTCAACATATGTTCAAATTTGTCGGTGTAGGAAACACGGAGACGTGTCCCTGCAGCGTGGCACCCGAAAATGATGAACAAGTGCTCCAACACTGTCAACTGTATGCTGACAACAGAGACGCAATCTGACCTGTTCCAACCACACTGAAGACAAAACTGTATGGTACACGAGAGGATATGGACTGCACGATAGCTTTCATAAAGGCTACCGGCCTCCTGATATAAGTTTTCTGACAAAAGGATCGAAGAAGAAGAAAAAGATAATAAATTATACAGACACTGACAACGTAATTATTATAATCTCATAGTAGCCGCTGTGGTTTAGTGACTAGACATTCATCTGCGGACCCGAAGAGAGTGGGTTCAAAATCGAAGCCAGTCTTTTTACAAAAAAGAGCATTGGTTCCTCCTAACTTTAAATGGCTACTCTGTAAAGTCCAGGAAAGTAAAGGTGGTCAGCGTAAAGCTGACCACATCACTTACCAAGTGTTGATTGGTCTCTAAAATATAGGTCTAGCCCTATATGCCCATTTACACAAGGAGGCGTGCAGATTGATCATCTCATCAGCAGGACCTTGACAGAACGACGCTCTCTTCACGGCATGCCTAAAAGTTTCTCTTTCTTTAGCTTATTCTCCAACCCTATGTGCTTTCACAGCCAGTGCTTCTTCAGTATCTTGCATCCACTTTCGCGAGGGTTGGCCTCTGCCTCGTTTCTCGGAGACTGCGCCTTCCATCACCGTAAGCTATCTAGGCCATAGTGATGTTTTGTAACGGACCCTTTTCCACGCCTTTGGGCGTATAGGGCATATAGGGCTAGACCTATATTTTATATGCCAAATCGGCAGAAGATGGGTGATGTGGTCAACATCACGCTGACCGCCTTTACTTCCTGGGACTGCACCCGGTACGCATTCAAAGCTGGGTCGCCTGGGAGTCAAGGTCATTTTTGAAAAACAAAGAGAGAACCAACGACCTTCTGATCCACACGCGAGCGTCTAGCCGCTAAGCCATGGCGACTCCCTCTCACATGGTCCCAAGTATCTCTTACATGGTGTGATTACTTATCGCAGTACTCGGTTACAATTACATTTAGCTGGCGTGTCGCAATGGTCCCAGGTATCTCTTACATGGTGTGATTACTTATCGCAGTACTCGGTTACAATTACATTTAGCTGGCGTGTCGCAATGGTCCCAGGTATCTCTTACATGGTGTGATTACTTATCGCAGTACTCGGTTACAATTACATTTAGCTGGCGTGTCGCAATGGTCCCAGGTATCTCTTACATGGTGTGATTACTTATCGCAGTACTCGGTTACAATTACATTTAGCTGGCGTGTCGCAATGGTCCCAGGTATCTCTTACATGGTGTGATTACTTATCGCAGTACTCGGTTACAATTACATTTTGCTCGCGTGTCGCAATGGTCCCAGGTATCTTTCACATGATATGATTATTTATCGCAGTACTCGGTTACAAATGCGCCTTGCGTTGGTTTCGACAGTGGTATCAAGAAAGCCGACTGTCCAGAAGCAATGGCAAACTACTGGATGTAAATTGTCTAGAAAAACCACACAACAGCCAGGGGCTGTTAGGGTTGGTTCTGCAACGTCCTGTAAAGGATACGCAACTAACTTTAACTGGGTTACAAATACATTTAGCTGGCGTGTCGCAATGGTCCCAGGAATCTCTCCTCCTTTCCACAGTAATCCGCGCTCCCCTACCCTTACATAAAAATGCCTCCCTCAATGACCACGGTTTTCTCAGGACGATGCAAGCCTTCGAAATGCCGCCACCTTTACCGTGACAACATCAGTCTGGTACAACCTGTAGTACCGGGAGGGCAGGCATGAAATCACTTGCCCCAAGCTCTTTCTAATTTGTTTGTCGTGTCCCAAGATTCACTGACACACGAACCAGCAAGTCAGGAATAACTTTCAGGTTTCTCAGACGAATCAGAAACTGTATAAGTATGATATAAATAATCACCATCATCACTATGTGCCGTGCCCATAAGCGGAGAATAGCCAAAATTCGCCATATGAAACGATCACCAAAATCACGGATCAGGTCAGTGTTATTGTCTCGCCCAACCCATATGGCTAAGCTATTCAGATGAAAATAAGCATTGTTAATCGCACTACCTACCTGCTCAAAGGAAATTAAGCCGTTCATCTTGCTTACTTCTGTGAGATTTTTCAGGATATGTTGTTTGATTTCCTGAAGGGGGAAAAAGGAACAAAATTAAAGATTGTTTAACTAACAACTCATGAATCCACTTGCATGCTAGTTTTTGAACGCAGCCTTAGAATATCCCAGACGAAAAAAAAATGGTTTTCTTTAGTCCATAGATTCTCAGGACGCTGAATACCAGGCAGTTCCTTGGATCTTTTTGTACCACTGTAAATAAGTGGAGTGAACGTTTAGATTTTACAGTAAATGGAGTGAACGTTTAGATTTTACAGTAAATGGAGTAAACGTTTAGATTTTACAGTAAATGGAGTGAACGTTTAGATTTTACAGTAAACAAATCTGAATTTTTTTTTCATAGCTGTGTCTTCATAATACATTGGTAGGGGAAGTCAATTTATTTGTTGTCATTTATGTTCAACTGAGTTAAGCTGAGCGGAGTCAAGAAAGACATCACACGCTCCGTCCCAATCTTCAGCAGCCAGCGCAGAGTTCCAGTACTTATTGTAACGGACGCAGTCTGATTATATGTCCATCTTGCCATTCCTCTGAGTGTAGTGTGCCGACTAGGCCCTCTGTCCGCACCCAGGTGTATCATTCTCTCCAGACCACGATAATATATTTTCTCTGCTGACTTCATTACTTGATCCCAAAAGGCCTTGACCACATCTGCCTTGTCATGTATCAGTTCACCACACAGTGGTGTAGCTCCAGCCAATCTGTCTGCCTTGTCATGTATCAGTTCACCACACAGGGGTGTAGCTCCAGCCAATCTGTCTGCCTTGTCATGTATCAGTTCACCACACAGGGGTGTAGCTCCAGCCAATCTGTCTGCCTTGTCATGTATCAGTTCACCACACAGGGGTGTAGCTCCAGCCAATCTGTCTGCCTTGTCATGTATCAGTTCACCACACAGGGGTGTAGCTCCAGCCAATCTGTCTGCCTTGTCATGTATCAGTTCACCACACAGGGGTGTAGCTCCAGCCAATCTGTCTGCCTTATTCAGCTGTAAACATGTCCCCAGTATGCAACAGTTAGTATTCTCTCTCAGTCATCATTAGAAAACACGGTGTATTTTAACTGCCAGCAAATTGTAATATGGCTCACACATTTTGATGTGGAGATGTATTTGTTCCAACTGTAGATGTACCTAACGGGTTGGTGATATTCAACCGCTCATAGAAAAAATAGTTTTAATCATACCGAACCTTAAGATCCCAAAATCCCCTATTTTTGAGAAGCACTCACGTGTAAGAACTTCAACATCACACATTTTAAATGCACTGTTCATTTCGGCAACTTGTGTTTTGACTTTATCCCAAATAGGCTCTGTCGGATTGAGGTTTGAATGATATACAGGGAGTCGCAGAGAAGTGTGGCCGTAATCATTGATGATTTTGTCAGTGTGATACACCTTTGTCTTATTTGTGTTCCCAACAAGCTGCAACATCCCTGCCTTCAAATATGTGGCGTCAGAGTTGACTTTTCTTTAGCTAGCCATTTCCTAATTTTATCTTTTGTATTTGATGTCGTTGGGATTTATATCTTCCTCTGATACGATATTAAAATACGCGGTATTATCCATTACTAGACATGATGGTCTGTTCAGAATTGGAAGAAAATCATTCCCCATCCAGTGGCTAAAAAGATATTCATTCATTTCAATGTAGTAGTCCATCCCATTCGTACTTTTTGATTGGAAAAGACCAGTATCATGGATACAGCCTTTTTCATTGCTTCCTGCACTAGTGAGTACAATGCGCTGGCCTTTGCTGCTTGAAATGTTTCTTTTCGGTTCCTCATTTACTGACTGCCATACTTTAGCATAGGTATGGTGAGCATCAACCCAGGATTCATCCAAATATACATCATAGCCTTGCCTCCGTCTCTCATGGATCTGCCTCAGGTATTTGCTTTGACTAGCAATCAAATGTGGCTTTTCTCAAATAATATTTCTTCTACCTGCAGTTTTCATGAAAGTGAACCCGGTGGCTCTTACAATTTTCAACAGACTACTTTTTGAAATGTCAATACCGCATTGTGATCTTATGTTTATTTCAATTTTCGGAGAGTAACAAGTTAATTTGTCTCTAACATTTTAAGATCTCACGTCTAATGACATCTACATCAAAGTCGTTAAATCTCTTTTTTTCTTCCTTGCTTGAAATGAGTGAACTCTGTGCCCTGTATAATCTAATGGTTAAATTATGCTCCATTCAGTCCAAGCGCCAAAAAAAGTGTTCATTTCAAAAATGACTTATCTTATATTTCTTGAGGAAGTGCTGGTGCAGTAAAACCTTCTGCATAGTTAGAAATTTGCATCTCAAATTCATTATTAAACTGATGTCTATGTCAGCTATTATGAGCCAGCTAAATGACACAATAATTCAACACTAATTTGTGGATGCGCCTTTGATTGAACAACCTTGACCGACATCTTATTTTGACGTCAGGTCACTAACAGTGCTATTTTGCACGAGAAAATCATGAAATTACGTAGCTTTTTCTTTAACTCCCTGTTAAACCAGTCATAGTGTGCACTTTTTGAAACTAATGAAAGTAAACCTTCTAAAGGTCTACTAAAACGGTTTCGTGATACAAATATATATCGTAAAAAATTAAAATAATTAGAAATGATATTCTTGTTGGGTGTAAAAAAATTTTTTTTTTTAAATATTCCTAGCGTCATGGATATTCTAAGGCTTCATGTAAAAGAAATTGCGATCAGGCAGTTTTCCAGAAAATGGCTTGCACGTGTGTTCATGAGTTGTTGAACGACCTATAGCATTAGTAATTAGCAGTACTTTTTTTCCCTCATGAAAAGAGTGCTGTTACTCATCACAAAGTGTCTAAAAATGTGTCGGTACTCCGCATAAGTGGGAGCCGCTGTGGCCTAGCGGCTAGACGCTCGCCTGCGGATCGGAAGGTCGTGGGTTCGGTTTATAACAGGGGCCGATTATTTTTTCAAAAATGACTTTACCTGGTACCCACTCTTAAATGGGTACCAGGTGTAGTCCTGGGAAGTAAAGGCTGCTGGCGTGATGCTGACCACATCACCCACCAAGTGCTGTTTGGTCTATAAAATATAGGTCCAGCCCTATATACCCAATACACCTGAAAGGCGTGGAATAGGGTCCTTTACTTACTCGACATAAGTGTCCAATGCAAATGCGCTGGGGTAATAAATGGTGCGTTCCGTTGTGTACAGCCAGAAAAAATAAAATAGGACTGGGTCCTAAGGGTTCAACTGACTGATCTGCAAACAATGACTTCACATTCTGACTTTGAAAATAAATACTTCAAATTCTGACTTTGAAAATGAATACTTCACATTCTGACTTTGAAAATAAATACTTCACATTCTGACTTTGAAAATAAATACTTCACATTCTGACTTTGAAAATAAATACTTCACATTCTGACTTTGACTTCAAACTTTAAATAATACTTCACATTCTGACTTTGAAAATAAATACTTCACATTCTGACTTTGAAAATAAATACTTGACATTCTGACTTTGAAAATAAATACTTGACATTCTGACTTTGAAAATAAATACTTGACATTCTGACTTTGAAAATAAATACTTCACATTCTGACTTTGAAAATAAATACTTGACATTCTGACTTTGAAAATAAATACTTCACTTTAAATTAAAGAATACTTTTGAAAAACTTGAAGGAGACGGAGATGTGGTTTCTCAAACAAATATGAATAATCCCGTGGACTGCTAGAGTAACTAACGAGGATTGCTTGAAGGAAGCTAATGAAAGTAGATACATATTTCCTCACCAAAGGGGATGGGGGCAGGCACGGAACTCATAACGGGAGACTTTTATTTAACAAAAACTCGATTTTCGGTCACTTGAAATTCTTGTTAACGAGGTTTTTTACTACATTATCAGAAATGCTACCTGGTTATTCACCAGCTCCTCGAACTGGCCGTGAATTCCCCGATGGCCGGCAAGACTGGCTAGAGTGTCCACATCTGGCACGATAATCGCTACAAGGAACGACTGTGGAGACAAACACAAGAGTTACTTAACAATTTTACTGGTAAAGATGCAACAGAAGTAATGTCGCTGCCTACTATTGCAGATAGCCTCAAAGTTCTCAAGGCACAATCATATCTAACAGTAGCTGCAGACAAGAAGCATCTCCTGCATGAAGCCCTGGATACAGCTAAGGGTCACAGCCTGAAAAGAGGAAGGTCTTGGAAGGCGCAAGCTGAAGACAACATTGGACATGTCTGCAGGCTTGACAAATTTGAGCGAGAAGAGGAGTGGGTCAAGGTGTCCGAACAAGTTTCAGAGTTGTGAGTGCAGAGACTGGCCAGCTGGTGCTCAGAAGTTTGACAAATGATAAATATTATTCCTGCTCAGGTGATGTGATTATCTATACAGATGGCTTTGTGTTGAGGGGCGGACGAAGTGTACAGGGGTTCATAGCAAAGTCGAATGGGCGTCGCTTAGTGCAACAAAGCCTTGCATATGATATCACAACGTCTAGTTTGAGAATGGAGGTGGAGGGAGACTGCTGCCTTCCGCTGGCTTGAGAATCAGCTTTACACACATGCCGTAATTGTAACTGCCTCACAGAGCATGTTGAGAAAGGTAAAGACAAGCATGCTTCCCGCAGAGTGAGTAGTTAGCATCCTTTGGATATTTTCTCCAGGTCATGCCGGTGTTTGGGGAAATGAGTGGGCGGAGAGACTGGCCGGCTACTGGTGTCATCGGAATTGGAACTCTTCGAATGCTGCTGAAGATGAGGAAGGAGCACTTATAGAAGTCTACTTTTTTTTTTTCTTCAAAGGAAGCACCCCAATTAGTCGACTCTTACGACATGCTTTTGGGGAGGCAGTGGGTCTATTCTTGTTTTCCCCACAATGGGGTCCCGGAACCCACACGGGAGATTTATAGAAGTGTCCCGAGTGCTGTGATGTCGATTCTTAATTCCTCATTCAACATTTAACAGAAGTATTGTCGTAAAAGTGAAAAAACCCATTTTCACGTCTGTAGCGCATCGGGCACACGAAGCAAAACTTAGAGTTTCCCGGACTCGTTGATTAACATAGTTGATATCATGCCGGTCGCCCCGACCTAGTAGGACAACACTCTGTACCCACTGAGGCTGGTTCCACCTGCAGCAAAGGTGGAGGTGGAGTGCATCCACTTGACCAAACAACCGTCTCGCAAGGCAGCTAAACTAAGCATCTGCTGAAATCTATTGTGTTGGATCGAAAGGAGCAGATACTGTAGCCTAGCTGTAAGGCACAACTCAACTTACCCGCCACCCCTTTAAGGGTGAATGTAGGAAAAGAAGAAGTAGTAGTAGTAGTAGCAGCGACAGCAGCAGCAGCAGTAGTGGTAATAGTAGATGTAGTAGTAGTAGCAGCAGCAGCAGAAGTAGCATATGTGGTAGTAGATGTAGCAGCAGTAGTAGTAGTCGTAGTAGAATAATAATAATAATAATAATAATAATAATAATAATAATAATAACAATAATAATAATAAGAAGAAGAAAAGAAAAGAAAAGAAAAAGAAAAAGAAGGAGCAGGAGGGATATGAGAAGGAGGAGGAAAGGAGGATAATATGATACAGAAGAAGAGAAAGAAACGAAACAGCAGCGGTAGTCAGTTAACAGTTAGGTCTCTGAAACTGTTAAAGAAGCAACCATTGCCCCCATACTCACCTGCAGACTGTCCCCATGGACATAGGCCTGAGCCACCCAGGGCGACTGCACCAGGATATTTTCGATCTTTTCTGGAGCTATGTACTCTCCCTGTTGCAACAGAAAGATGATGTCACATACTACTGTGATTAAATCCAACAACCCCTCCCCCCATTCCTATCACAACTACCACCACCATCATTATCATCACAACCACCACCACCATCATTATCATCACAGCTACCACTACCATCATTATCATCGCAGCTACCACTACCATCATTATCTTCACAATCATCACCACCACCATTATCATCAACACCAGCACCAACACCATTATCATCAAAACTACCACCACCATCATTCTCATCACAACTACCACCACCATCCTTATCATCACAGCTACCATCAAAATCATCATCATCATCACCACTATCACCACCAACACAACCATCATCCCCACCACTACCACCATCACTACTATCATGATCACTATCACCATCACTACCACCATCATCACTATCACCATCACTACTACCATCATCACTACCACCATCATCATTACCACCCTCATTCTACCATCATCACTATCACCATCATCATTATCACAAGCATCACTACCACCATCATCATTACCACCATCACTACCACCATCATCATTACCACCATCATCACTACCATCATCATCACTACCACCATCATCATGACCACCATCACTACCCCCATCATCACTACAACCATCATCACGACCGCTATCACTACCCCCATCATCGTTACCACCATCACTACCACCATCATCATTACCACCATCACTACCACCATCATCACTACAACCATCATCACGTCCACCATCACTACCACCATCATCGTTACCACCTTCACTACCACCATCATCGTTACCACCATCACTACCAACATCATCACTACAACCATCATCACGACCACCATCACTACCACCATCATCATTACCACCATCACTACCACCATCATCACTATCATCATCATTATCACCATCACTACCACCATCATAACTACCACCACCATCACTACCACTATCATCACCACTATCCACATCACTGCCACAGTCACCACTATCCCCATCCCTAACACCATCAGCACCATCATCACCACCATCCCGAAAACTACCACCATCATCATCACTACCACCACCATCACTACCAACATCAGCACCACAACCACCATCACCACTATCATCACCACTATCCCGAAAACTACCACCATCATCATCACTACCACCACCACTACCAATATCATTATCACTAACACCATCATCATTACTACTACCACCATCACTACCAAAATCATCATCACTACCACCATCGTCACTACCAACATCATCATCACTACCACAATCACCATCACTACCAACATCATCATCACTACCACCACAATCACTACCAATATCATCATCACTACCACCACCATCATTACCACCATCATCATCATTACCACCACCATCACTACCACCGTCATCATCACTACCACCACCATCACTACCAACATCATCATCATTACCACCATCATCATCACTACCACCACCATCACTACCACCGTCATCATCACTACCACCACCATCACTACCAACATCATCATCATTACCACCATCATCACTACCATCACTATCAACGTCATCTTCACTACTACAACAGTCATCATTATCGTCACCCCCACCTTTATTACACCCACATTATCGTCATCACCAACACAACCATAATCATCCTCATTATCCTACTGGTCATCTTCTTCATCTTTATCATCACCCCCTTTTATACACTGATTTAGAGGTCAGGTCACGGTATCATTATAATCATTATGATCGTCATCATCGTATCATCACCACCACTAACATTATCATAATCATTATTACCACCATCAGCGTCAATCGGCATTAACTGGGTAGAGAAAAGACAACTTGAAGATCTCCATTCCACAGATGATACTGTTCTGTTCAGTAAACATCACAAAGACATGCACAGAAAAATAAATGATTTGTCGTCTTCTGCGTCAGAAATAGGACTACGAATAGGTTATGAGACAACAAATATATTAAAGATCCACACAGATCGTGTGGATGTCATGCTAGTGGACACACCAATAACAGTAACGGACCATTTCATTTATTTAGGTAGCAATTTTGACTTTCAGTGAAATGCAACAAAGGAATTTATGGTACGGACTGGCAAAACAAGAACAGTCTTTAACAAATATTAACAAAATATGTAGCTTCAAATTATACAGCTTCAAGACCTAACTACAATTCTTCTTGTCTAACGTTATTTCAGTTATAAGATATGCCTACGAAAGTTGAAGAACTACAAAAGATATTCAATAAAGTTCAACGCATCTAAAAAAAAAAAAAAATGTCAGGAAATCAAAAATATAAAATGGCATAAAATTTTGAAGAAAACAAAATGAGAAGATTAGAGAAAAGTCTGGACAAATACATGTATCGACTGAAATAAGATAGAGAAGGTGGAGATATACTAAATGAGCACAGAATTACAAAACAAGCACTGAAATGGGAAAGAAATGGTTTAAGAAAAAGAGAACGTCAAAGGGAAACATTAGGAAGAACATTATTACTAGAAGTTAAAAATGCTCGGCTGAATTCCATGTCAAAAACTGAGAGAGTTGCATGCAATAAAGCGGAGTGAGGGAATCGAACGCAAGACCAATGTGATATCTAACGGCACACAAAGGATGATGATGATGATGATGATGATGATGATCATCATCATCATCATCATGACCATTATCATATCATTCATCTTCTTATACATCGATTTATAAGCCCGGCCCTGTCATCATCGTGCTACACACTCACTAACCACATCCAAACACACACAGAAGATTGTAACACTGTCCGACTTACCTGAGCCAGTTTAAAAAGGTGCTTCTTTCTGTCGATTATTTTCAGAGTTCCGTTCTGTGGGGACAGATATGGGCAGTTAACTGCTGGCCTAAATCACTCAAACTGACAATCAACAAATTATTATAGCCCTTGGGTGTAGTTTAAATGAGAAATAATTATTATTATTTTGTGAAAAAACCAAAGTTTCCAAGCAGATCCACAAATGACGCACGCACGCACACACATACGCACACACACACACACACGCACACACGCACACGCACGCACACACATTCACACGCACACACGGTTTAACAAAGGAAGCCATAGTAATCCAATGGAAAAGAACCTACTTTTGTTATTAAATAAATTAAATTGTTCAAATTGTACATAAGAATACCGTGAGGTTCAACACATGAAATTACAAACATTTTGCATCCAGGTCATCGATAGTGTTTAGGCGTATAGGCTTTCCCGTCAACTAATAAAGTGCAACATTGGATAACTATGCGTTTCGTGGGTGCGTGTTTGAATCAGGAATGCACCATCAGATAACAATAAGTTCATTTTTTTTAAAGTGTGTGTCTATATATATATGTATGTGTGTGTGTGTGTGTGTGTACAAATTCACACACATATATGGGCATATATATATGATGTTTATGTATATATATATATATATATATATATATATGTGTGTGTGTGTGTGTGTCTTTATGTTGATGTGTGTGTGTTGATGTGTGTGTGTGTGTGAGGATATATACACACACATAATATTCACACATACCCATTAATATGTATATATATATATATATATATATATATATATATATATATATATATATATATATATCTGTGTGTGTGTGTACATATACACACACATATATGTGCATATGTATATGTATATGATGTGTATATATATTAGGGCTATACCGAATATTCGCTTTGTATTTGCTTCCGGGCCGAATAGTGGACATAGTAACTATTCGGTATTCGGCCGAATACTTGCGGTCGGGCCGAATACGAATAGTGGTTACTTTACACCTGTTTTGCATACACTGCGATGGACTGAAATAACTCTCTCATTAACACATTAGTTGCTGTTGCCTAAGTCTGTCGTAGCGGGGAAAACTGCGACGCGGCTGCGTGGTACAGCAGCTGGCAAAGTTTTTGCCTGCTGACTCGACCGAGGCATTACAGCAGAGGTTTTCAAACTGGGTGAGTATGCCACGGCGAAAATCAAGAAAAGTCGGCTATAAATTGACATTTTCAAAGAAGGCATAAAGATACTTAAAAGTTAAAATTTAAATTGTCTTTCCTCGCCACAGTCGAAAAGAGTTTTTTCCCCCTTGTTTCACACTCATAGTGCATAAAATGCCAACCGCAGCGTGCTAAAAAGTGTCTTTGTAATATCTAGTCTCGATGTGCGACTAATTCTCCATCTGTATTCGTGAAGGTGCAGCGGATAAGTAAGTTTATCATTACATATTGGCTAAAATTTTAAAGTGGAAAATATGGTCTGTTCAATAGTCACTGTTAGCCTCGTCAAGTAAGCACTTATATTTAAAGGCAATGCGTTGTGAGTCATGGACAATCGGTACGCAGGCCAAAGAATTTCTTGAGGCATCAGAGATGTAGTTTTACAGAACAATGCTTAAAATACCATGGACATTCCCCCCCCCCCCACACACACACAAAAGCCACTAACAGGTTTTGAAAGAGGCGGGAACCCGAAGACAACTGATCACAGACATCACAAGCAAACAGTCATCCTTTTTCGGCCATGTTATGAGAAGAGGGAAAATGGAACATTTGGTGACCACTGGAAAGATCTGTGGAAGGAGGGATAGAGAAAGACAACGAGAGAAGATTCTTGACAGTCTTGTTGCATGGTATGGAGGTGTGTCAGCACACGAACTAATACATGCTGCAGGAGATCGCAGATTGTGGGGAGGCATATTCGCCCACACCAGTCGGCAAGGCACCTGATGATGATGACACACATATACACATATAAAGAGCTCCACTGGTTCACTTACAGGCAGCCATTCTCCAATGTCGCCAGTAAGTAACCAGCCAGCAGCATCTAGAGCTTCCCTCGTCTTTTCCTCATCCTTGAGATAGCCTCGGAACACATTCGGTCCAGACACACAAATCTGTAACGAGAAGACGAGGTGGAACCAATAACAAACAACACTTTTTATTCTCCTTCTTCTCTTCCACCTTGTACCTCATCGATGTGTCAGGAAAGCGGAAGGGGAGGGGGGGGGGGGGGGAGAGAATGTAATATTCGTTGATGAGCTCTGTCATGAGCACTATTAAGACTGATGTTCATTTCTGTAAGGCTGTTCTTAATACCACCACTTCATATTTTCCGAGGTCTTCTACTCGCTCTATACCCATTGTAACGTTTTAGTGTGGCTCGCTGTGGCGGATAGTACCAGGGTATTCATGTTAGGTGTCGAAACCATTTCATTTGTTGTTCTTTGATGACCTGTGAGACTGGCTTTATTCCTAGCATTCGTATTCTGTCTGGCTTTATTCCTAGCATTCGTATTCTGTCTTTCCTTGAAACTCCTGCAGCTCTTCCAAGGCATTTCACCTCTGTTGTCACAATTTTACGTTCATTGGCCAAAAAAATAGTCCTGATAAAATTCACTTTAGTACACTGGGGTATCTGCTTGTGTGTCAACAGGGGAGATAGTTGCCCCATTACTTGATTAGCTTTGGCACATCTCGAGCTAATACAAAACTACAATAGAAAAATAGAGCTGACACACTAAACAACAGTGAAAGAGTAAACTAGTTTACCAACAGGGAAAGAGCTGACAAGCTGGTCGACAGTGTCAAAAGCTGACAAGATGACCGACAGGGAAAGACATAAAAACATGATATTCAGTGAAAGACTTGCCAAGGTGTACAACAGTAAAACATTTGACATGTTAATGATAGTAAAATAATTGACAAGATGACCGACAGTGAAAGAGGTGACAAGATATACAAAAGCGAAAGAGATGACAAGATATACGACAGTGAAAGAGATGACAAGATATACGACAGTGAAAGAGATGGCAAGATATACGACAGTGAAAGAGATGACAAGATATACGACAGTAAAAGAGATGACAAGATATACGGCAGTGAAAGAGATGACAAGATATACGACAGTGAAAGAGATGACAAGATATACGACAGTGAAAGAGATGACAAGATATACGACAGTGACAGAGATGACAAGATATACGACAGCAACAGAGCTTACAAGTTGTATGACAGTGAAAGAGTTGATTAGTTGTGCGGCACTAAAAGCTGTATGCCTAGGTGCGACGCACGGTACTTTGTCAGTTACGCTGTAAAACAGGTTAGAAAAATGCTACTTCAAATTTACATTATATACTACTCCGAATGTACGAGTGCTTGTATGCCCATGTCTGGCTGTTTGAAAATTAAGTTCATTCGTTTGTTAGTCTTTCTAAGGACCTTTTCTCGTATACATCTGAGGTTGATCAGCCCATGTCTATTTCAAAATACTGGTGTCGAAGAAACTTTAACGGGACCTTTTACGGAATGTTTCAGAACCAACAAAAAACCTGTTGGCTGTTTTTGGTTTTACTAGAACATTTTACGTTTAGTAGTTTGCCATCGCATCCTGTACGATCGACTCTCACCCCCACCCCGTCTAAATCAACGCAAGGCGTTCTGCTGCCAAGTCAATCGCAGCTAAAATCAAATCAGATACCTGATAATCCCAACAGGCGGTCTCACGGCCGATACTTTCTAGATGTTAAGCCAGCAGACCAATTTTTCTAACTAAAATTTTTATACAGCCGCTCTAAATTTACAAATGGCTATTACCACGATAGCATATCCAGATACAAGAATGTACTGCAATGAACATTAGGGGGTAGTCGAAGAAGAGGAGGGCAAAGAAGAACTGGAATTACACCATCAAGAAATGTACAGGACTGTTATCATACACTTATTCATCAAACGGAAGACCTAGAAAGATGGCGGGTTTTACGTACTAGTGCTTCCAACCATGCACCTCCATGACCCTAATGGGGTCAAGGGTTATATTATCTTTCTTCTTTGTGTTCACCAGCTGTAAACTGTGGCGGAAAGTTCAAGTTGTTCATCCACTTTTAGACTGCAGTCCTGTTCCAGAACCTGAGTGTTACGTGTGCATCCGTTTTACAGACCTGACACATTTGTGTGAAGACTGCTGGTTCCTTGCCTCTCAGGCAGATGCACTCCGACTTTGAAGGAAGCTTCCAATTAGTCGACTCTTACGACATGCTTTTGGGAAGCAGTGGGTCAATTCTTTTTTCCCCTATGATAGAGCCCTGGAACCCACACGGGGAGGTTATGTTATGTTATATACAGACCCCTGCTATAGTCTGGAAATAACTGTCAGAGTTACCTCTCCTTGGTTGTCTTTGTTGAAGTAATTCATCTCGGGGACGTCAATCAGCTTGACCATGTTACAGGGGAGTGGTGGGCCTACATGACCTGGGGATCAGATACGGGTTCTTTTAGCTCTTTTAGACAAGTACATATGGCATGATGAAAATCTGGAACACTCACACGCACACGCGCGCGCGCACACATACACACACACGCGTGCGTGCGTATCAGCAAGTGGCTTGTCGATAAGCGTAGGCGTTACCATCTTACACAATCGCCAGAATCAGAGATCATCTCAATACATATGGTGAAATCGTCTCCTTATTTATCTCTTTACCTGCCCTATTCCCCCCCCCCCCCCACTTACATCCAGTCTTAACAGTCGTCATCGGGTACTCGAGCTAGTTCTTTCTCTACACACATCAGACAGAAAAAGAAAAAGATTATTGTCTTGATCTAATTTCTGTTAACGTCTGTCTCAACGACCCCAAACCTACACACACATACACACACTGACTGTTTCTTTTTCACACGTACTTCTCACCAACGGTGAACAGTAGCAAGTGTCAGTCCACTGAAGAATGACTGTCAAAAAAATGGAGGACAGGGTGTGACAGAATGTTCAACTTCGAAATTATTTGTGCTTTTGTCAGCGCTTTGCTAATGCAGATTCCAATTATGGGTCAAAGACAACGGTTTTGTTGACAAAGTTAAGGAGTTAAGTGCTTGATGCAGCACTGTGAGCTGTGTTTTTCACGTGAAATGCATTTCATTTGTGCGGAGGCTGTATAATGGTATTCAATATGACCGGTAACCGCTTGACTTATGGGCTGGAGAATACCTTACGCGATAATTTTACGTGTGTATAGACAAAACATGTAGAGGCCGACTATTTTCATCAACGACAAACTGCATTTCTGGTGACGACTGACTGACTGACGTTCCATTCCACCAGGACCGACGACTGACTGACTGACGTTCCATTCCACCAGGACCGACGACTGACTGACTGACGTTCCATTCCACCAGGACCGACGACTGACTGACTGACGTTCCCTTCCACCAGGACCGACGACTGACTGACTGACGTTCCATTCCACCAATAATTTTTATTGACCACCCCAGGGCGAAATAAGGCGGTTAAGAACAGGAACGAGAGTTCATCAACAGCAGACCAGTAGGTCTTTGATTTAATGACTTGGGGTTCAATATTTGCTCCAGCGTTGTTGATCTTGAAAACTCTTGCACACATTGATATCAGACTCGTGTTGAGGCTTTATTCCCAAACCAGTATCCAGGCTCTCATCTCCGTAGGAAATGTGCCGCAGAGCTCTTCCCTCCCCCCTCCTAACTTAACGTACTCAGTATATACACTAACAGGCACTAGATGGGTGATGTGTAGCCTTTCAGTTAACAAGTTCTTTAGACCTAAAAATTTGTTTTAATTACGACAACCATACGTTACACACAGTGAAAACTGCCAGCGATGGAGCGGTGGAAGGAAGACGAACAAAAAGCTGGGGGGGGGGAGGGGAGAGAGAGAGAGAGCGAGAGAGAGAGAGAGAGAGAGAGAGAGAGAGAGAGAGAGAGAGAGAGAGAGAGAGAGAGAGAGAGAGAAAGTGGGTGCAAGAAAGAGAGGGAAAAAACAAACAAGTCAAGTCGTTAATTAAAGAATGTGTGTGTTCTCACTGCGAGTCGCCATGATATAGCGGTTAGACGCTCGCGTGCGGATCAGAGGGTCGTGGTTTCGCTCCGGACTTTTCTCAGAAATGGCCTTGACTCCCAGGTAGACCCAACCTTGAGTGGGTACCGGTCGCAGTCCTGGGAAGTAAAGGCGGCAGGCGTGATACTGACCACTTCACCCATCTTGTGCCGATTGTTCTATAAAAATATAGGTCTAGCCCTATATGCCCTATATGCACATAAAGGTGTAGAAAAGGGACCTTTACCTATGTGTTCTTACCTGGTTCGCAGTCGCCGACAAGAGTCATCGAACACACACCAGAGCATTCTGTTTGCCCGTAGCCTTCAATTATCTGCAACACAGCGGTACAGTCATAATCAACAGTGATAGAATTGTAATATACAATGACAGAATCTTAATGTGCAATATTACAACTTATTGTGAAGTGATACAATCGGCGGGGGTGGGGGTGGGGGGAGGGTGGGGGCTGAAGAGATCTGAGGTTTAAGTGCGTAAATAATAATAATAATAATAATAATAATAATAATAATAATAATAATAATAATAATAATAATAATAATATGCTGAGTGGCCTGTACATATACAACTGTTTGTTTGACATGAAATGAGAATGTACAATAAGTTTAAGTCGAGCTTCCCTTCCCCCCCCCCCCTCACCCACTACTCCACGATGCATACAGATACAGTCATAATGGACAGTGGTACAACCCTAATGTACCATGGTACAGTTTTAATTTTGAATGGCGTACAATCTTACTGGACAGTTTCTTAATATTCAGGAATTCAAAGTCAATGAATAGACGTATTGTGTGTGTGTATATATATATATATATATATATATATATATATATATATATATATATATATATATATATAATCATAAGGGCTAAGAGAATGCAGTAGATAAGGAATAAAGAACTAATAGCAGATAATGGAAAAACAAAAACTGTGTACACATCAATTTGAGCAGGCCAGGAGGCAGACCGAAAAGACAGAGCAGTGATAATTCACTGGCAGACCTGCAGACACTCGGAGTCGCTAACTGTGAAATTAAAAAAATCGATTAGAGGTCTGAATGCAGGCGGGTGTTATATGCATCAATGAACACCAATTCCTAGGAATGCTGACGAATAATAATAATAATAATGATAAAGATGATGATATACAACAAGAGAATAGCTGATACAGCAACACTGAGGCAACACTTACAGGGCAGCCCACGATACATCTGATAACTGTGAGCACATTGCCCGATATTGGGGCCGACCCTGTGGTGATGACCCGCACACGGCCCCCTAATGCATTCTGGACTGAACGGAAGACGAGCTTGTCCCATATGCTATTGTTTCGTATGAAGCCACTGTGAACGACAATCATTTTACACATATAAAACGTATTATACGTTGTCGATATTGATTTTTAACTATTATAATACCCATGAATGTTAAATGTTGAATTAAGAATCGACATCACGGCACTAAGGAAACTCCCATAAATGCTCAGTCACCATCTTCGGCAGCAAGCGAAGAGTTTCAATTTCGATGGTACCAGTAACCGTCTGATTGTTTTCATAGGTATACCATAGCATTGTGCTAATGAAAGTAGGTAAACCACTAAAGATATGAAACGAAAGTAAAATGCATTTGAAAACAAATGCATGAGGACAATGATAAAACAAAGAAATGGGATGAATTAAAGAGCAGTGAAGAAATAGGAGAAATGTTTGAGCAACCGCTGAAATCAATAGTTATACGACAGAGAAAGTGGCGATAAACTGGAGACATTATGAGAACAGACGAACAAAGAATCCCCAAAAGGTATTAGAATGGGAAATAGAGGAATACTGATAACGAAATGTCGAAGCGTCCCCCTAAAGCAAACACTGATGAGCGAATTGAAAAGTTCTGGATTCCATCCAAGATATCGCAGTTATTGCACAGAAAAGAACGACATGGAGAAACAGACAACGAGCCATAAGTGACAAATAATGACACAACAGGACAAATAATGGCACAACAGGACAAATAATGACACAACAGGACAAATAATGGCACAACAGGACAAATAATGGCACAACAGGACAAATAATTACACACCAGAACAAATAATAGCACAACAGGACAAATAATGGCACAACAGGACAAATAATGGCACAACAGGACAAATAATGGCACACCATGACAAATAATGACACAACAGGACAAATAATGGCACAACAGGACAAATAATGGCACAACAGGACAAATAATGGCACAACAGGACAAATAATGACACAACAGGACAAATAATGACACAACAGGACAAATAATAAATAAGTGAATACCACGGCATTCCCAGACTCCCAGTGACATCTGACACCGCACACTGTACCAAGTCTTAACGACTTATGGCAAAGGCATCTGACATCATACACTGTGCCAGGTCCTAACGGCTTATGGCAAAGGCATCTGACACCACACACTATGCCAAGTCCCAACGCCTTATGGCAAAGGCATCTGACACCACACACTGTGCCAAGTCCCAACGCCTTATGGCAAAGGCATCTGACACCACACGCTGTGCCAGGTCCTAACGGCTTATGGCAAAGGCACCTGACACCACACACTGTGCCAAGTCCCAACGCCTTATGGCAAAGGCATCTGACACCACACACTGTGCCAAGTCCCAACGGCTTATGGCAAAGGCATCTGACACGACACACTGTGCCAGGTCCTAACGGCTTATGGCAAAGGCATCTGACACCACACACTATGCCAAGTCCCAACGCCCTATGGCAAAGGCATCTGACACCACACACTGTGCCAAGTCCCAACGGCTTATGGCAAAGGCATCTGACACCACTGTGCCAGGTCCTAACGCCTTATGGCAAAGGCATCTGACACCACACACTGTGCCAAGTCCCAACGCCTTATGACAAAGGCATCTGACACCACACACTGTGCCAAGTCCCAACGGCTTATGGCAAAGGCATCTGACACCACTGTGCCAGGTCCCAACGCCTTATGGCAAAGGCATCTGACACCACACACTGTGCCAAGTCCCAACGCCCTATGGCAAAGGCATCTGACACCACACACTGTGCCAAGTCCCAACGGCTTATGGCAAAGGCATCTGACACCACTGTGCCAGGTCCCAACGCCTTATGGCAAAGGCATCTGACACCACACACTGTGCCAAGTCCCAACGCCTTATGACAAAGGCATCTGACACCACACACTGTGCCAAGTCCCAACGCCTTATGGCAAAGGCATCTGACACCACACACTGTGCCAGGTCCCAACGCCTTATGGCAAAGGCATCTGACACCACACACTGTGCCAAGTCCCAAAGGCGTATGGCAAAGGAGCACACTGACGAGCATTTTACTGACATCGTCGGTAACGGAAATACAGCATGTTGCTTGTCCCCACTGGACTAACTGCAAGTCACACCTGGCTAGTGTATCTGTCACAGGTGCCATAATTATAACTTCTTTAGAGGCTCAACAGGGTTTCTGGGATCTGCCTTGTTGGTGGGTCGTCCTGGCTGCTGGTTTTTAACCTCAGGATGGTACGGTACACCTTTAGGTAGCAGCCCATAGGGGACAAGCCGATCAAACAAGAAAGCAAATAAAGTACTGGTCAAACTTACGGGACCACTTCTAATGCGACATTCAAGCCTTCATGAGCATAAGGGAAACAAGAATGTCAAAACTGTCATTACTGTCTGGTTTACCACCGCTTTAGGGCCGCACAGGGGGGGGGGGGGGGGGGGGGGGGGGGGGGTCTGAGCCTGAGGTTTTAGGGTCGCATAGCTAGGGCTGTCGCCACGGACTGTGCAGGTTAGGACGTTTTATGTTGTCCCTGACAGAAAAACTCCATCATCTCACCGGGAGTCGAACCCGGGTCTCTTGCCAGCCGCTCCTCAGTGAAACAAGACATAATACTGAAAATGACATGACGCTCAAATTTCTGGCATTTACGGGTGTTGGCTGACATGTTTTTGGGCAGTGTTTGGTACACCTGTTTGTCAGTTTTGGTACAGCCAATAGTGTGTAGACACGATATTATGATTATTTTTGCTCCTTTTCTTTGTTTTAAAGGATGTTTTAAGGAGTGAAAAGGGTGGAAATTAAAAAATTTTTATTCACGGTAACGCAGATAATTTCCCATTTACCTCACCCTGCTGTCTGTGACAGATCAAAACTATTTTTTTAATCATCAAAAGGGAGAACATTATTCAATTTTTAAAGCTCCATTCGTACTTATTGATTACTTCCCTGTGTGTGGTTTAACCACACCAGGACCCTACAACCAGCGACCATCACCAAGTGACACAAAAGGCCACCGTTCGGATGAGGATCACCCGGGCACAAATCCCAGAAACCCCGTTCAACCGTTAGGTTATATTAGGGTCCCCGACTACAGCCGGGGTGGGGTCTAAAAATTAGTATAAGTATGGCCCCATTACTTCCCTTCATGTGGAAATAAACCATTTCCAAATTTAGACACTTAATGACTGGACATAAATTTAATTTTTGTATTCACGTGCCATCATTAAAAAAAACACATCATAAAAATGACCCCCCCCCCCCCCCACCCCCCCCCCTAAAAAAAAATCATCATTTAAAAATCATCAAAAATGATTTCAAAAATCATCATTAAAATATCATCAAAAGTGATTTTAGAAAATCATCATAAAAAAAAAAAAAAAAAAAAAAAAAAAAAGAATAAAAAAAAAAAAAAAAAAAAGAATGGTGATATTTATCGAAATAGATTAATGAGGTAACCTTTTGAGTTCGCTGATCTTGCTGCCCAGCGCTTTATCGAAGAGAAATTTCTTCACCTTGTTTCCACTCAGACCAGCCATAATCTGCAATACACGAACATGACATTAGCGGTCAGTCTTTGCATCGGTCTTTATTACTGATAATTGTTAATGACTTTATATGACAGCAATCATGACTTTATCGTTAATCAGTCATGACCAAACAATTATAAATCTATCACTAAACAATTATGACCTTATCATTGATTTATCATGACACCACTAAACAATTATGACCTTATCATTGATTTATCATGACACCACTAAACAATCACCACCATACCAATAGTAATTCATAAAGCTATGACCAAAGAAGCATAAAGCTATGACCAAAGAACCATAAAGCTATGACCAAAGAATCATAAAGCTATGACCAAAGAAGCATAAAGCTATGACCAAAGAATCATAAAGCTATGACCAAAGAAGCATAAAGCTATGACCAAAGAATCATAAAGCTATGACCAAAGAATCATAAAGCTATGACCAAAGAATCATAAAGCTATGACCAAAGATTCATAAAGCTATGACCAAAGAATCATAAAGCTATGACCAAAGAAGCATAAAGCTATGACTAAAGAATCATAAAGCTATGACCAAAGAAGCATAAAGCTATGACCAAAGAACCATAAAGCTATGACCAAAGAATCATAAAGCTATGACCAAAGAAGCATAAAGCTATGACCAAAGAATCATAAAGCTATGACCAAAGAAGCATAAAGCTATGACCAAAGAATCATAAAGCTATGACCAAAGAATCATAAAGCTATGACCAAAGAATCATAAAGCTATGACCAAAGATTCATAAAGCTATGACCAAAGAATCATAAAGCTATGACCAAAGAAGCATAAAGCTATGACTAAAGAATCATAAAGCTATGACCAAAGAAGCATAAAGCTATGACCAAAGAACCATAAAGCTATGACCAAAGAATCATAAAGCTATGACCAAAGAACCATAAAGCTATGACCAAAGAATCATAAAGCTATGACCAAAGAAGCATAAAGCTATGACCAAAGAATCATAAAGCTATGACCAAAGAGGCATAAAGCTATGACCAAAGAATCATAAAGCTATGACCAAAGAATCATAAAGCTATGACCAAAGAATCATAAAGCTATGACCAAAGATTCATAAAGCTATGACCAAAGAATCATAAAGCTATGACCAAAGAAGCATAAAGCTATGACTAAAGAATCATAAAGCTATGACCAAAGAAGCATAAAGCTATGACCAAAGAACCATAAAGCTATGACCAAAGAATCATAAAGCTATGACCAAAGAAGCATAAAGCTATGACCAAAGAATCATAAAGCTATGACCAAAGAAGCATAAAGCTATGACCAAAGAATCATAAAGCTATGACCAAAGAATCATAAAGCTATGACCAAAGAATAATAAAGCTATGACCAAAGATTCATAAAGCTATGACCAAAGAATCATAAAGCTATGACCAAAGAAGCATAAAGCTATGACTAAAGAATCATAAAGCTATGACCAAAGAAGCATAAAGCTATGACCAAAGAACCATAAAGCTATGACCAAAGAATCATAAAGCTATGACCAAAGAAGCATAAAGCTATGACCAAAGAATCATAAAGCTATGACCAAAGAAGCATAAAGCTATGACCAAAGAATCATAAAGCTATGACCAAAGAATCATAAAGCTATGACCAAAGAATCATAAAGCTATGACCAAAGAAGCATAAAGCTATGACCAAAGAAGCATAAAGCTATGACCAAAGAAGCATAAAGCTATGACCAAAGAATCATAAAGCTATGACCAAAGAATCGTAAAGCTGTGAACAAAGAATCATAAAGCTATGATTGAAGCATAAAGCTGAAAAAGAAGCATAAAGCTATGACCAAAGAATCATAAAGCTATGACCAAAGAAGCATAAAGCTATGACCAAAGAATCATAAAGCTATGACCAAAGAATCATAAAGCTATGACCAAAGAATCATAAAGCTATGACCAAAGAAGCATAAAGCTATGACCAAAGAAGCATAAAGCTATGACCAAAGAAGCATAAAGCTATGACCAAAGAATCATAAAGCTATGACCAAAGAATCGTAAAGCTGTGAACAAAGAATCATAAAGCTATGATTAAAGAAGCATAAAGCTATGACAAAAGAATCATAAAGCTATGACCAAAGAAGCATAAAGCTATGACCAAAGAATCATAAAGCTATGACCAAAGAATCATAAAGCTATGACCAAAGAAGCAAAAAGCTATGACTAAAGAATCATAAATCTATACCAAAGAAGCATAAAGCTATGACCAAAGAATCATAAAGCTATGACCAAAGAAGCATAATGCTATGACTAAAGAATCATAAAGCTATGACCAAAGAAGCATAAAACTATGACTAAAGAATCATAAAGCTATGACCAAAGAAGCATAAAGCCATGACCAAAGAATGATAAAGCTATGACTAAAGAATCATAAAGCTATGGCTAAAGAATCATAAAGCTATGACCAAAGAAACATAAAGCTATGACCAAAGAAGCATAAAGCTAGGACCAAAGAAGCATAAAACTACGACCAAAGAAGCATAAAGCTATGACCAAGGAATCACAAAGCTATGACCAAAAAATCATAAAGCTATGACCAAAGAATCATAAAGCTATGACCAAAGAAGCATAAAGCTATGACCAAAGAATCATAAAGCTATGAATAAAGAATCACAAAGCTATGACCAAAGAATCATAAAGCTACGACCAATGAAGCATAAAGCTATGACCAAAGAATCATAAAGCTATGACCAAAGAAGCTTAAAGCTATGACTAAAGAATCATGAAGAAATGACCAAAGAAGCATAAAGCTATAATTAAAGAATCATAAAGCTATGACTAAAAAATCATAAAGCTATGACTAAAGAATCATAAAGCTATGACCAAAGAAGCATAAAGCTATGACCAAAGAAGCATAAAGCTATGACCAGAGAATCATAAAGCTATGGCCAAAGAAGCAAAAGCTATGACCAAAGAATCATACAGCTATGACCAAAGAATCATAAAGCTATGACCAAAGAATCATAAAGCTATGACCAAAGAAGCATAAAGCTATGACCAAAGAATCATAAAGCTATGACTAAAGAATCATAAAGCTATGACCAAAGAATCATAAAGCTGTGACCAAAAAAGCATAAAGCTATGACTAAGGAATCATAAAGCTATGACTAAAGAATCATAAAGCTATGACTAAAGAATCATAAAGCTATGACCAGAGAAGCATCAAGCTATGACCAAAGAATCATAAAGCTATGACCAAAGAAGCATAAAGCTATGACCAAAGAAGCATAAAGCTATCACCAAAGAATCATAACATTATCTTTAAAAATATAACCCTTCCATAAAGCAATCACAACCCTATCATCAAACAAGGATTCTCCTTCACCAAACAATCACAACCTTATCATAAAACAAGGATTTTCTTTTACTAAACAATAACAACCTTATCATCAAACAAGGATTACCCTGTCACCAAACAATCACTACCCTATCATAAAACAATGATTATCCTATCACCAAATAATTACCACCCTATCATCAAACAACCATTGCCCTATCGTAAAACAGTCTTGACCTAGCTATAAAGCAATTATAACTTTATCATTTACCACTCATGACCCTATCATCAAACAATTATGACTTTATCATTACGCAATCATGACCTTATCATTACGCAATCATGACCTTATCATTACGCAATCATGACCTTATCATTACGCAATCATGACCTTATCATTACGCAATCATGACCTTATCATTACGCAATCATGACCTTATCGTGAAACCGATTGAGCAGCCTGGGCACCGAAGGAAAGATCGTGGGTTTCAGTTCTCTGATGTCGTCCATAAGTTTCTTGATCTCGCCCCTGAAGAACCCAATTTGAGAACCATTCATTAGCGCTGCCGCCTGCAAGAGAGACAAACGGAAGGTTGAAATCAAATAAAAAACATCAACCACAAATTGTTTCCAAGTTCAAAAACCTCAACAGGTGTGATTTAAAAAAAAAAAGGGGGGGGGGGGGCAGGGGCGAGTCATGCATACAACGACCTTTAGCTACCTCCCCGCCCCCCCCCCCTTTTTTCCGAACTTTAAAAAAATGTGATTAAAGGGGCAGAACAAAATGAAAGATCCCAAGCACCATTAACAAGAACGTGGAAAAAAAAAAAACCTTCGACATAAATTAAAGTGTCAGATAACAAAAGAAACATGTCAAACAACATAAAAGAAACATTTCAAACAACAGAACATAAACATTTAAAACAACATAAAAGAAATATGTTAAATAACATAAAAGAAATATGTTAAATAACATAAAAGAAATATGTTAAATAACATAAAAGAAATATGTGAAACGACACAGAAAAAAAACTATAAATAACAACTGGTAATTTAATGTCCTAATAACAACGTGATAGTTGACACTGTTGTGTTTTATTAATATCTAATGCACAAACTGTTTATGACAACAAAAACATGCCTAACTTATTTAATAAATAGTTTGAAAAATATTGTAATTTATAATTAAACGGAAATACATATTAGTATAACAGATTATTAAGTGTTGCGAACGCGTTTCGTAATGCCGGGGTAACGGGTTCGATCCCAGCTGCGGACGATCTGTCTTGCGTTGGTTTCGACAGCGGTCCCGAGAACCGACCGTCCAGAAAATAATGGCAAACTAATGAACCTAAAATTTGCCTTGAAAAACCACAACAGCCGAAAATGCTTAAGCTGGTTCTGCAACGTCCTGTTAAGGATACGTGACTAACATAAAAAGGTTTCACATCTTTGCTTCAGTTTTTTTAAACTGTTACTGTAGCTAGCACCTGGCGAGATACAGCGAAATATGCTAGGCAGCAAATTGAGCAATCTATTGACTGTGTCTTCTTTGTTCAAACTTTTATTGAATGTTGTATTGTTTAACATACTAAAAGCGTACCTCCATCACCCGTTCGTAGGAGTGAGCCAATGGCAGATAAGAAATCAGGCAATCGTTGACTGTGAATCCGATATCCGCTGCCTCCTGCAGTGCAAGAAATGGTAGCACAAGATTAGTTTCATCTGAACGTCATTATCACGGCACTTGGGACACAGCAGTAAGTTCTCGGTCTTTCTCACAGAAGTCAAACAGTGTGTGATGTTTAGTGACGGTAGCGCGCACCAGCGCACCGCACCTGTAGTTGTTTGTGTGTGTGTGTGCCATGCTTCACACAAAAAGTAGTACATTTTTAGTTTTAAACCTGCTATATTATTCTAGACAGTATAATAACCAAGAGAAGATGGAAATGGCTTGGCCACGTTATGAGAATGAATCCTGATATACCCGCCAGAACAGCTCTTACATGGACACCACAGGGAAAAGAAAGAAAGGGGCGCCAAAAACAACATGGAGACGAAAGATGGCAAGTGACCTGAGTGCGGCATCTCTGACATGGAAAACTGCACTGAAGATTGCACAGGACAGGAAAGCATGGAAAGTCCTCCCTGAAGCCTCATGTGCCACTAGGCATAAAGAAAATTGAAATTGAAAAAAAATATTAAACATTAATTTGTTAAATGCATTTCTAAATACAGTCTAAAATAGCCAACAATAATAATAATGATGATGATTAGGATAAACAACGACGGTTACAGTAAGAATAATGAACAGAAAGAGACTAAACTTTCCAAACATTCGTATTCTTCTTTTGTCCTAATGATTATGCCGTAAGTTTGCATTTATGGCTTAAGCGTTACGAACGCGCTTCATAATGTACGGGTGACGGGTTCGATCCCAGCTGCAGGCGATTTGGCAGCAGACAGCCTTGCGTTGGTTTCTACAGTGGTTTCAAGAGCTACCGATCAGGGCAAAGGTAAAATACTGGACGTAAAATTAGCCTAGAAAGCAACATCAACCAAAAACATTCTGTGGTTAGTTCTGCAACGTACTGTAAAGGATAAGCGTTTAATCCTGTTTTTAGCAAGTTGCATAGCTTGTGTTCATGTCATATGCTGCGTTTCTGCAGTGTCTCTTTTACTCCATCCACCCATGCCTTTCTTGGTCAACCTCTTGACTTTTAATATGGATAGATCTGCAGCCTACGCAAAATATAAACCCCCGATTGAATACCGATTCGAACCATCAAATATTTCCTTACCGGCGCAGGGCTGCAGGTTCACCCGGATGGCATGGCTGTTACGGGTGCCCAGAATATAACTTCTCTGGGAATTGAACGGAGTGTCTGGGATTTGTCCTGTTGGCTTCCCATCCAGGCTGAGATTTTGTAAATCTCCAGACTGTTATACATTCAGGTGGCCTTCCATTAAATAAAAGGAGGAAGGAAGGAAGAAAGGAAGGAAAGAAGTCTATCCACTTCGCTACTGTAGCACCCGATTCTTTACACAAGTTGTATGTTTCCTTTTTTCAAAATTAAATAAAGTAAAGATCCTTTTTCAAACATTTAGGCGCATCAGGCATAAGGAAAAAGCACCAAAATTTTTGAAGAAAATCGGCATTAGGTGGGTAATGTGGCCCGTTTTCACTTCCCCAGGACATCCACCCAGGTACCCATTTTAGACTGGGTCGACTTGAGACGCCCCTTAACATGATAAAAATCCACACAGCCAGCAGTGGGTTTCGATCACGGTACGCTGGAATTACGAGTCAGACTGGCAACGCCTAAGCCACAAACACCGCCTTCATTCTTCAGTAGCCAAAGAAAAGTTTCCATACTAATGGGGCCTGCTGATTAGAAGTCCGCTCAGTAAACTCAGTCCACGTGATATAAGAGAGCCTTTACAATGACAGCTGTATCACAAACTAGCCCATCGTCTAGAGGAGCAGCAGCAGCCAATCTATCATCCTGATTTTACACTGTACTCCAGGGGAGACAACCAAAATTTGAACGGTAAAAAGGTGCAAAGAGAGATGATGTCTTACCAAGACTTTGAGACCTCCAGACACACAGGCCATTATGTTTCCGTGTGTCAGCATGACACCTTTAGGTGTACCTAGCGAAGAAATAAAGGATTTCTTAACTTTCTATGGCATAAGTAGTTGTCACATTGTATCTCTTTACAATAAACAGTTGGCCCTTTACTTATCTACAACAAGCAGGTAATTTATTATCCGAGTCGTCACCCTGTGGGATGCGATTTTTCGTTATTTGAAGCCCCACACTGTCTTTTGCCAAGGGCCCTGAATATAGCTGGGCCACAATTGTGGTCATACGGCTGCAAGGGGTTTCTGGGACCTCTCCACGGTTGATCCTCATCCGCATGGTGGAACTTTGTGTCACCGGATGTTTATCGCTTGTCTGATGTCCTGGTGGGGTACAATAAGCAAGCAAGCAGTTGTCATTTTACCTTTCTACAACAAATAGTTGTAACTTTACCTCTCTACAACAAACAGTTGTCACTTTATCTCTTTACAACAAACAGTTGTCACTTTATCGCTCTACAACAAACAGTTGTCACTTTATCTCTCTACAACAAACAGTTGTCACTTTACCTCTCTACAACAAGCAGTTGTCACTTTATCTCTCTACAACAAACAGCTGTCACTTTATCTCTCTACAACAAATAGTTGTCACTTTATCACTCTACAATATCTACTACAGTCCTAAACCAGAAGTTCAACGGAAAAAAAGGAACGTATGTTGCCAAGATACAATCAATCGTTTCGACACAAGTCTTTATCACCGTACAATACGAGACATAATCAAGCAAACAATGGGTACTTTGTTACCCACGTGTTAAAGAAATAAGTGTATATTTTGTGTCACTGTCTACATGTAATCCAACTGTAATGCCTGTTTTGTTGTCAACTCATTCGAGTCATAATATTACACATATAATACTTGATTGCCTACCTAAAGTCCCTCTATAATGCCTACTTTCTTGTCTAATTATTCAAGAAAGAGAATATTACATATACGATGTGCGATTGTCTACCTATATTTGCACTATAATGGCTACTGTGTTGTCTAATTATTCATGAAATAAAATGTTACATATATGATGTGTGATTGCCTACCTACAATTGCACTATAATGGCTACTGTGTTGTCTAATTATTCAAGAAATAAAGTATCACACATATGATATCGGTTTGCTTACGTGTAGTCCCACTATAATGCCTAACTTGTTGTCTAATTATCAAATGTTACAAACATGATATGTTATTGCCAACATGTAGTCGCATTATAACACCTACTTTGTTGTCAAATTATTCAATAAATAAAATATTACATATATGACGCGTGATTGCCTACCCGTAGTCTCACTATAATGAATACTTTGTTATTCAAGACACAAAAAATTACACATGTGATATGGGTTTGCCTACCTGTTGTACCACTAGTGTAACAAACCATACATAAATCGCTGGGTTTTGGAGGCTGGAAAATGGAAACAAAATCATCATTGTAACATGCATTCTTTGTTAGTACTATCTCACATGTGTCTGGAATATGTAAACTATGTGTGAAATATATGTGGTGTGAGCGTGAACTACGTGTAAAACATACAGAGGTAGCCACAAAACACACACACACACATAACAGACCCAACACACACACACATCACACACACACAACACACATACACATAACACACACAAAACACACACACACACATAACACACACAACACACACAACACACACACAACACATACATACACACACAACACATACATACACTCACACAGCACACACACACACCACACACACACACAACACACACACAGCACACACACACACAGCACACACACAGCACACACACAAAACACACACACACAGCACACACACAGCACACACACAGCACACACACAACACAACACACACAGAATGTTAACACAGTAATCGCTAAGCAGTAAAATTCATCTTCATGTGCCGTCTTAGGATACATTACAGTATCAATGTGTTGCATGGCGTTTTTAAATCAACAACATTTTGATACTAAATGTATTTAGACACAAAGAGATGCATACAGGTTACATGTGATTTATGATGTTCTACGGATGCTCAAAGTGATTCTCATTAGCCTCCAGACCATTTTTTTTAAGCTGACTGTTTCCGCTGACGTCTTACTACTAGCGGCCTGCTTAGCGTCGTATTTTCCTCATCCTACAACACACAGCAACCGTAATTCGATTTAAATACACCGGAATATGCCACGTAATGATGACGTTTCTAAATAAGAAGCTTCTATAAAAATGTTTGAAGCATTTCACTGGTGGACGATGGCCTTTAAAAAAAAAAAAAACGTTTTTTGGGGTGCTAACTCTGTAAGTTGCGAAGTATAAAATGTGAAGTGTGTGGAGTTTTATGAAGTAAATGTGAAGATAAGGTGAAGTGTCTAGATAGTATTGTGGAGTGTGTCTCAACTATACCCGCATTATATGAGAAGGGGTTAAGATGAACACTAAAGCATTTGATAAAGTGAAACATAAGAAAATTATTATAATTTTAGAAACCTTAAATATTGATGGTAAATATATTAAAATAATAAAAAAATTAAAAAAAAAACATATACTGGAAACAAGAAGCAGCCATAAGGATTGACAACGAAGTTAGAATTTTTCAAAAGGAGTTAGCCAGGGATGTGTGCTATCACCCGCGTATTGGATTTGTACAGTGAAATACTAATTAGATCCATATATGGTATGCCAGGATTAGCTGTTGGTTGGCATATTGTTAACAACATGAGATAAGCTGACCATATAGTTTTGATCGCTGAAAATGAAACACGACTGCAGGAAATGATGGATATAATTGTAACGGAAAGTGAAAACAAGGGTGTTTGAGCTGCAGAAAAAGAGAAGTAATGGTTATTACAAAGAAAAATGACCCCCCAAAACGCAACGTAAAAGTAAATGGGACAAACCTCAAGCAAGTTGATATGATTAAGTACTTGGGTACTCTGATAACATCAGATTGAAGATGTATTAAAGAAGTTAAATGACGAATAGCTCAAGCAATGGTTTACAAAACGAAGAATAATTTATGCAATCTTTCTTTGTCAGTTAAGACGAGAAAGAGAATTCTGAAAAGCTATATAAATCCTATCTTGACATACGGAAGTAAATCATGGACAGTTGGTAGATAAGTGAACAATTATTTGGAAGCTGCGGATATGTGTTTCTTTGAGAACAGTGACCTTCTTCTTCGTATAATCAATGCTGTGTGGCGTTTGTCATCACGTATGTCCACAACCTTCTGTCTTATGCACCGCCAATCCTTTCCAATGCAGAGGTTTTTCCAAGCAAGGCTGCTTAAGTTGGTACTTACCTACAAATTTAGGTCTATCTGACCCTTGCCGAGCAAAACTGTACCTTTGGTTGGGGAGGGCTTGGGGTGAAAAAAGGGGGGGGGGTGGGGGTGGAAGGAGTGACTGGATATTTTCCGCACCGGTTATCCCCTGACCTTGCTCCGACACTGCCCCCATACAACTTCCCTGGAAGTTGACCGGGGGTATGTGGGACTGTCTTGTCGGTTTTTCATCTAGAGTGGGGTGTTTGTAATTAGTAATCTCATGACGGTATGGTTAAACCTTGAGGTAGAAGTGCTGAAGAGATAAACTGTTCGAACGATCAGCTGACGCCCAAGGGAGGCAACTATTATCACCATCATCATACTCATCATCTTGTTGTGCCATGCAAGAATGAGTTAAAAATAAAGTAAACATATAGGTCAATAATTATGCTAAACTTACTTTATCATCCACAGGGTGTTCTTTTCCCAGTTTCTAATTTAAAAAAAAAGTTAATAGCAGTATTAGAACATAATATACCATGATTTTATGCCCACAATACACAATACGGTAATAATAAAATACAGACATGGTTAGACATTACTTCGCATTATACATTCCTTAAATCCTTCTTAAGACGTAATTTTTTTATTTGAAGCCCCACTCTGGCTTTTGCCAGGGGCCGCAATATAGGCAGGCCATCAATTGTCTGAACGCGGTTTCTGGGACCTCTCCACGGTGATCCTCATCCGCATGGTGGCACTTTGTGTCATCGGGTGTTTATCGCTTGTGTGATGTCCTGGTAGGGTAGTAAGTCAGTCAGTTAGTTACTTTGCACGTCGTGTTAAAATTGTTACGTCCTTTTTAGGATGAAATTTTGAGTTATTTGAAGCCCCAACCTGGCTTTTGCCAGGAGCCGCAATATAGGCAGGCCATAAATATGGCCAATTGTCTAAACGCGGTTTCTGGGACCTCTCCTCGGTGATCCTCATCCACATGGTGGCACTTTGTGTCATCTGGTGTTTATCACTTGTGTGATGTCCTAGTGGGGTAGAAAGTCGGTCAGTCAGTTACTTTGCACGTATAATTAAGATCATATTTCGTTATTTGGAAGCTGCAATAGAGCCTGACGGTTAAACTCTATTTCTGGGACCTCTCCACATGTGATCCTCATCCGCATGGAAGCACCTTGTGTCGCTCTGTGTGATGTCCTGGTGGGGAAATATTCAGTTACTTACTTTGCTCGTTACTGCTTCATTCCATGCAGTATGGGACGCGTCAGGGACACTACAGTAAGCGCCCTTTTGGCATCTTCAGCAGACAGCGTAGAGTTCCTATCCCCAAGGTACCAGTAACAGTCTGATTATGTGTCTATCTTACTGTTCCTCTGAGCTTTGAGAATCTGCAAGATCACCTGGCCACTACCTCTGCTGTATCATTCTCTCCTGACCGTGATGCTCTAGACTAGTGTTCACCTTTTTCAAAACATGAACAAATCTAGTTTTTCATGCATTAGTTCACCACCCAGTAGTGCAGAGCCAGTCAGCCTGTCTGCTTATTCATTTACCAATACATCTGCAGTTTCTGAGGAAAACATATGAAGGACGCTAACTAACAGCGACTCCTGGAGGCGACATTTGTCTGTCTGCATGAAGCATTCCAGTCTCTGTTTATCACAGCATGCTTTGTGAGACTGGTACAATCACGACAAGAGATCCAGCCGTACATAGTTAAACACAAAGAGATCTAGCACACTACCCACCATAACTTCGTCATACTGCAACATTTTCACGCCGATCTTCTTGGACAAAGTCTTGTTTTCTTGGCTGATCTCATCAAAGACGATCAGGGTCTTCATAACTGGCACCTTCAAATGTGCAGCCAGCAACTTGTTCACCTTGGCGTTGGTGTCACAGATGATCACCGCCAAGTCCGCTGCAAATGAACAGGCTTATTCTGACTACATTTCTCAAATAAACATGTTATGGGTAAAAGTAAAATTTAGGGATTAGCAACGGACATACGGTGCTTGGCTAATATGTTTATATCATTTAAAGGTATCAAACTAAACTAAAGGTACAGCCAGTCCGCTTCACAGTCCATTATAGTCAAGACGACCGCATGCCATGTAATCATTCTTATCTGTCTAATGGGCTCCCTAGCTCCTAAGATATATAATGTCTAACACAACTTTATCAATAACAACACAGAAACAAAAACAAACAAACAAAATCGAGTTACACTCTTTGTCGCAACTCGTTTTATCCAGTTTCTTTGGCTTACTTCCTGTCCAGTGTCCGACTTGGAGGCCAGTTTTTACTGTCTGTCTGTCTGTCTGTCTGTCTGTCTGTCTGTCTGTCTGTCTGTCTGTCTGTCTGTCTGTCTGTCTGTCTGTCTGTCTGTCTGTCTGTCTGTCTGTCTGTCTGTGCGTCCATTAGTCCGTCTGTCCGTCCGTCCGTCTTCCCACCCGACCGTAACCCCACCTGTCTGTCTGTCTATCTGTCTGTCTGTCTGTCTGTCTGTCTGTCTGTCTGTCTGTGCGTCCATTAACCCGTCCGTCCGTCCGTCTTCCCACCCGTCCGTCTTCCCACCCGACCGTAACCCCACCTGTCTGTCTGTCTGTCTGTCTGTCTGTCTGTCTGTCTGTCTGTCTGTCTGTCTGTCTGTCTGTCTGTCTGTCTGTCTGTCTGTCTGTCTGTCTGTCTGTCTGTCTGTCTGTCTGTCTGTCTGTCTGTCTGTCTGTCTGTCTGTCTG